TTATTTCTATTTCTATTGTATGAAGAGTTTCTAGATCGATCATTTAAAAAATATGTTTTTCTAGAATTTGACTGAGAACTGGCATTGATAGAAAATTCAGGTTGGTTTGAATTTGATCTTGATTAGTTATTTCGATACTGACTATTTCGACTGTTTGATCAACTATATCTGTTTTGCGAGAAATGTCGTGAATTTTTTTGATTTGGTGATCGTCCTCGATAATTCGGATTGTAAGGTGATTGTTGTCTAGAGTAATTTGAGTTATTTGGAAGTGGTTTTCCGAAACTATTTTCACTATGAATGTTTTTGTTGGGTAAATTTTGAACTGATGAAATGATTTATTTGGTTCTCTATATATTTGTGGTTTATTTTGATTGACTCGTTGTTTTGTCTTCATTCGGCAATGCTGTGTCCATATCTTTGGCAATAATTGCACCATTTTTTGAATGATGGTTTACCTTTAAAATTTGGGGTTTTCTCATAGATGTTTAAGATTTCAGTGATTTTTTCAGATAATTCTGTATAGGAATTGTGAATATTGTTTATTTGTGAATTAGTGGTTTGGATGTTATTGACATATTGTAGCTTTAGAATTTCTGTTTCTTCTAGTTTCATAGTGATTTCTGTTTGTTCGTATTTAGCTACTAGTTTACTTAAATGTAAATCTGGTTCTCGGATTGAGGAAGGATGTGATGCTCTCTTTTTTATTGCTAGTTTTCGCAATTGAGGTGTTAGAGAGATCATCAAGATTTCTGTCATCTTTGTATTTTTATAATCATGGTTATTGAGTGAGTATGCTTTTCGGACTAGTGTTTCAATTCTTACTGCAAGTTGTTTAATTGTTTTATTTGGTAGTCTACGCATTTCATTGCATAAAAATCTTTGATGTTGTTTGTTTCTTTCAGAATCAAATATTTTTGAGAATTCTTGTGTGAATCTTTTCCAATCTGATTTTATTTCTATAGGTTAAACTGAAAACCATTTTTGGGCTGCGCCGTCAAGTGCGGTTTGGATTAAGGCTGTGCGTCTATGTATCCAATTTTGATGAAGCGGCGTATTTACTGGTTCAGGTCCTATGTTTAAAGTTAAAATTGCTGTGACTGCATTTAGGTTATCTTCTACAAAGTATTTAGGACCTGTGCCTGTAAATACCATTAGTGTTATATTCGATGATATTGATGATCCACCCATTAGGTATGGATTCATAGTCATTTGCAGTGATTCCGCGGCATTTGGCATTTGAGAAAAGTTTGTAAGTTGACTTTTTTTTATTTCATGTTGTGGTAAATAATATGGCAGTGGGATTTCGTTATGCATTTTAGTTGGTTGGTAAGATTGTGTTTTGACTAGGTTTTGTGGTTGAAAATTATTATTGTAAGATCTTGGATTATTTCTAAGTTGTAGTATTTGTCCATCTCGTGGGCATGGTTCAAAAATATCTGGTTGATCAATACTGTCTTCGGCTTGAATAAAATTTTTCATGAGTTTGATTATAGTATTCTTCATCATAAGATGGAAAATAATTAGTTGTATAATGAGGGTGTTGATTTCTAGTATGGTATCTCTTTTTATTATTTTATTTTGTTGAAAAAATAGGTGATTTTCACTTTGTTCTTGTGAGGATCGTGGTTGATCATTGAAATTTACTGAGTTTGAAGTTGGTTGTGGTAAATATTGACTTTGTGAATATGAGTAGTTCTGAGTATTCATATTAGAATGTTTTGTTGTTTTTGATCTATTTACATAACTATAATTATGTTCTGCGAAATTATTTCTATGTGACGTTCTGTTTATATGCTAGTTTTGTTACTGCTCGAAACGTTGGGTAACCCATTTGTGAATATTTTTTAGCAACAGAGGATTTTAATGTGGATTGTAAAATTTCTTGTTGTAACTGGGTTTTTTAGTTTTGGAGTTGTAAAATTGGGTTGAATAGGTGAAATACTTCGTTGTGCTTCTGTTGTTGTTATTGTTTCAACTATTGTTTCATTTACGAAATGTGATGGAGTTTGTATATCTTGTTGTGTAAGATTTCTTGTTCCATTTAGGTTGTCTTGATCTATAAAAGTAGAGTTTAAACTATTAGTTCCTGTTCTTTCCGGGAAGAATGATTTATAGTTCAAAGGTGTTGTGTCAATTATAAGTGGATATACTTTAACATAATCTTTGTGAATAGAGATTGTGCTAATTGCTTGACTTGAAATATCTGTTGGTATATTAATAAATGATTCATGAGACCATTCAGGGTCCCAAACATAATCTGTTTGTTCCGAAAATTTGGTTTCGTCATCTGTATTTTGTGTTCTAAAACTTTTTCTTGCTGGTGCAATAAAATCAATATTATGATTAAACTAATCGATTATGAACCATGCTAAGTTTTTTTGTTGTAAATCGTGTTTAACACGCTGTGTTATGTCATTACTAGTTAGATCTTCACGGATTGCGTTTAAAAACTTTGAAAATATATGTATTTCTTGTCGAACGGTTATACGTCGAGACGTTTGAGTTGGTGAATCGCTTTGAGGTCATTTCAGTTCTAACATAGATAAATAGCTACAGATAAGTGAAAATGCATCGTTTGTGATTATTGAGTTTGCTCTTTGTGAGTTTGATGTTGTATGCTTCTTATGTACTGTAGAAAAAGTTGTATTGTCATCAGTTTGAATGAGATATTTGTCATGAAATGCGCTTGGTGATCTGATTTCTATTGCGTAGATTCCATATTGTGATGTGAGACTACATATGCCTTTGAGATAGCGGTCAAGAAGTTGTCTTTTTATTTTTACATCGGGAAATTCTTTTGTGCAAGAACTATCTCCTTTTTCGAATAGATTTGCGATTAAATTTTGGCAAAATTGTACCTGTCCTCGAGCTTCAGTTAAAGAATGTATTAAAGATGGGAGTACTGAATCTTCTAGGTTTTCTTCATTTCGAAACATTTTTGTTTTGTATCACTGTTAGCGTGTAATTTTCAAGGTGTCTTATTGGTTGATTCCAATTGTACAAACGTATTGGTTTGTTTGTGTAAAAAATTTTTATCTACGTTTTCCTTTTATTGATGCTGCTGACGTGGTTTCTGAGTCAGAAAAACAAATTTGATCGTCAATTTGATGGTTTTTGTTTACTGAGTCTGTTAAATTGTCTTTTAAGTTCTTGTATTGCGCTTGTTTCTGATTCTGAGACTGCGTTTCTTTGTTGTGAAAATCGTTTTCTAATGATTTGTATTTGTTTGTTAATAATTTTTTTTCTTAGTGTTTGTCTTTTTGTTCTTATGTATCCTATTGTTTTTCTGTGCGGTGTGATTACGAGGTCGTATCTTTTTTCGTTAATTAAACAGTTGTGTAATATAATTGTTTGTTTGTTTCCTAAATTGTCTCTCGACATAAGGTTTAGGATGATGGATGCAATTTTGGGGTTAATGAATTCTAATGTCTTAAACTGTTAATTCATACAATTTTTTGTGGTTAGCTTAATTTGGGTCGTATTTGATGGGTTGGAGAGAAAAGCATATATCGCTTCGTGGGAAAGATTTTTTACTTTCTCGTGAATAATTCTAAGTTAAGATAGACTTACCTAATCTTACTTAGGGGTTGTGATTTGTAATCAAGGGTTGGAGAATAGTAAATCGATCCACAAGGTTCAGGTATAATTAGAACGCAAGTAGTTCGTTAGGTACCATTTTATGACTTACTAAGTTTAAGTGTTTTAGCCTGGGTCGTTCAAGAGGAAGGGGATGAGGTGAAGGATGAGTAACCGAAGTTCTTCGCTTTTGAACCTAATTAGAATGGTTAGCTATTTGAAAAAATTTCTGTTAATTCTGGGTCTTTTAATAAGGGTTGGGTAGTGAATCGACGTTTGAGGTCGTTAAACACTAATTTAAATCGGGAGGGGTAGAACAAAATTGTTCTATTTGATCCAAGGATAAGCCTTAATGATCAGAAATTTAGATAGTTCAATTTAATTTAAAGATCCAAGCGAAACCTTGATGATCTCTTAAATTAAATGAAATTAGTTTAAGTGAAAACAAGGATAAGCCTTGATAGTTTATTGATCAAAGGTTAAGTTAAAAAGATTAAGTTTTTAGTTTTGATGATTGTTAGTTTTTGAGAATTGCTGTTATGTTTTAGGTGATAAAGCTGGGATGAAGAGATGATTTATATATACTAACAATTTATGGTTTATACTAACTAATTTTTGTGTTTTTTTTTATTTAATGAATGTTTTTCAAGATGTTATTTAATTTACAGCTGATTTAAGGAAAAAGACTAGTGTTGTTTTTATCGGTCGTTTTTGTATAGTTATTAGGTTTAGCGCCTTGAGAGGTTATTGATTCTTCAAAATTTTATGTCAGTAAATTAAAATTTAAATTTACTGCTGGAAATATTTTAATTATAAAAGTTTGATATTGTTTTTGTCGTACAATCATGAAATCGATTGGTAGGTTTCTTCCTAGTCGTTTGTCGTAACTTTTTCGAGGTCTTCTTCCAATACCGGGTAGTTCTAGTATTGTTCGGAATATTGAATCTGATCTATTGAGTCGTAGAGACATATCTACTAAGTTTTTGTCATATAACATTTTTAAAATCTTGTAATTGTCTAATTCTAATCTAATTTTTTCTAAATCTAGGTTAGTTAAGGTCTGTTCGAGACTTTTGGTCGCACCAGATGAGTTATATCTGGTTCCAATAAGCCAAAATAACAAATTAATATTGAAAACAGGACAAAAAACGAGAAAATACATGGAGTTCCAATTTTCTAAACCAGATATGTTTTTTTATAGATTTTCTCATACACGTTACCTTTGTATGAACTCCTAACTTATGTATAAAGTTTAAAATTTATAAACTTCTTACAAAATAGGTTAGTTAAAAACTTCAAAGTTTGTGTGAAGAAAAGAACCAAACCTAGCACAAACTTCTCATCACGTTCTTCAAAATTCGGAACATGATGTCCCAAAACTTTCTATGATGTTGTTTTAATTACCAGCCAAAATTGTTTACCTTCATATATGCTGATGGTGTGTCGTTGGCTCCGATGTGAAATAAATGAGACGTTGATGAGTCGTTAGCTCTAACTTGAATCTCGCTCTCGGCCCATTTTACATCGAAGTTGTACCGATTCGGAGAACTAACTTCCGACACGAGAGCTTCGGGGCTCAAAATGTGAACAAGAAGGCACGAGAAGCAAATAAAGTGAAAAATAAGCACAATGTAAAATAATTTGAATCTTCGAGGAAATCTCAGGAGAGTTGTCATGATAGCACACTCGAATTTTGATATGGAGCTTAAAACAGCTTTTGGGTCGTTATGACCTCATGTTGATATTGATTAAGGTGCGAATTTATAAATAAACATTTCGTACGCGATAGTTCAATTCGGTCAGACTGAATTGGATAGTTATCTTGTAGATATATAAATTCATCACTTGCAATTCACAATGATAACAAATTCAGGACTTAAACTTTGTTGCTGGGAGATTGTGATGAGCAAAAGAGACAGACTGGAGAATCGGTAGGCAATGGTATCCGCTTTAGAGACAACGGAATTTGGACTATAATATGTAACAGCACCGAAGTCAAGTAAGACCTGAAAAAACCATAATTTTGTTATTAGAAGGGCAGATCTGTCGTGCAATTGTGGGCGAGGTGAGCTTAAAATTAGCGGGGTTCCTTAATTAAAAAAATACAGATACCCTGATGTGTTTTCATTTCAACTTTTCGTTAATAAATCATGAACTAAGTAACTATGTTGAATTTAACACGAGGTATGGTATCAACTTGGTTAATTTACGTTTTTGAACGGCCATTTCATAGTATTTTGTCTACTGAGCTGCTGTGTTTGTCCATAATTAGTGTTATACGGGACCCTATCCCCCTACTGGGCTTCACACTGACCCCTTTGTCGCACTCATACCAGATCTGTTTTTTAAAATTTCAAGGCAATTTGCAGTCGCGCATTTTATCTTATCGAGCTATTGCAGAACTACAGAAAACATTTTTTGCCAAAATAAAATAAGGTCTCGATAACTGTTACCAACGAATTTCAAAAAATTGGTTAAATTTATCAAAAAATACCAGAAAAGAGAAAATGAAAGGTTTCGTGAAACGTTGTAGCTTGCAACATGTGTTTTTTTTTCAATATGGGACGGGTATATTTTCTATTCATATTTACGCCATCTAAAACTCTTCCAGCTTTGTTTCAACCTTTGATGCACGTTTTATCCATTTTTGTGACAAATATCCTCAACTCCCATAAAATTCGTTTTATATCATGACTTTTACGGAAAATTTTGCCCTTAATTGGTTCAAAAGGCATTTTCACTATATTGTCACTGGTCAAAATAATACAAAACATTATATTGATTTCGAAAAGGTGTTAGAAGGTTCAATTCACAAGCTTTACTTGTCAATTTAGAGGTTCAAATCATACAGTATACAGATATCACTATAGACTGCACAACACTATAGGCACATTTGAGCCTGCGTATTAATTTTATTTGCAATGAAAAGCGCGGGTTTAAATATCGAAAAAAGATTTTCGTATCAAATGAAAAAATTTCATTATTATGAAAACATTTTTTTTTCTTCAATTTTTTCTTTCATCTTATCATTCACGCGTTATGTAAATACAAAGGGATATATTTTAGATCGGTTAGTTGATTATTAGGAGTACCTTGTTTGCTTCAAATAAAACCCCCATCAATTTACAAAAAGATAGTCGCAAGTAAAATCTTTTTCATAATTTTAACTTAAAAAAATCAAAAGGATCAATAAAATATTATTTGCTGTAATTATTTTCTACGGGCAAAATTAATTAATTCTTCAGCGAGCGATATTTCAAATCATTTTCCAAATAAAAAATTATATCGATTAATGATACGGCCCATTTTTTTATCTGGCAACTCGTGCTTTCATTAGAAAGTCAACATGTTCAAAAACAGCTGTATATAACAGCCTGCGCTGTCATTCAATTTGCTATTTTGCTTCTGTGTCTCGGAGAAAACCAGAAAAAAGTGAGATAAAAACGGGCAATAACAAAAGAAAAAGGAAAACTTGTTGTAATTTAGACGCTAAAACTCCAAACAAATCAGGTTTCATTTCACTTCAACCATTCATCTTCTGCCATAAGTTAGTGAATGTGTGCTGCGAGAAACTTTTCAGCTAAAACAAAAACACCTTAAAGCTCTTCCTTCTTTTGTTTTGTTCATTGTTCAAAATTTCAAAGAAAGTAACAGAATGGGTATGTTTCTTGCGGTTTATTCAAGTCCAATTTCGGCAATCAAAATCAAAGGTTTCATTTCTTCCCAACTAAATAAAGGTTTCCAAATAAAAATATTTATTCCCTGATTTCAATTAAAAATCGAAAATTTTCTTGCATTACGTTTTTGGCAAAATTATAGAGTTTGAAAATATCAATTGTCACTGATCGGGACTTATTTAAGGTTTTTAAGAACTTAGTAAGGATGATGAAGACTTAAACGCAAAGTTTTTAAGCAATGAAAACTAATCAGCACTCAGCATTGTTCCAAATTCAGTTGTAGCAAGCTTACTGATCATTTTATTTCTCTGCACGTTTCAAATTAATCGCGGTTGCTATTACATTATGGCTACTGGGGTGAAAAAAGATCCAAACTTATAAAATATTCAAAAAATCCAAAAACTGTAACAAGTGCGGCAAAATCAGTTGAGGCAAATGTTCAGTACAAAAGTGTGATAAGTTTTTCTTTTTGTACTTGACATTGTGGTGGGGCGCTATCTAACAAAAAAAAGAATTTTTTTAATGTTTTTTATTGTTCCGACTTTCGAAGAAAACGGAATATTTATAATCGGTGTGGTTTTTTTATTTGGTCAATTTTCACCAATCGAAACAATAGTTTTCAACAAACAGTTTTTATACCCCATTGAAGATAACGAATTTCTGAGTTCAAATTCAAAAAGTTATTTTACCTCCAATTGTTTTGTGCAAAGTTCTGGGGGTTTGAAAGTTGCCAAATTGGCCATGTTCTGAATTCAATTATGCGCGCTTTGATGAGTTTTTTCACAATGCTGAGAGTGTAACGCGAATAATCTATGCGTGGCGAATTATCTTGCTCAACAAAATCGTTCTAAATTGAATTGAGGCTTGCTAATTGGTCGTGGTAATTTCGTACGACTCAAACTTATACACTCTGATGTTGTCCAAAAATTACGGACGCCTCTTTTCAGGAATTCGGCCCCCTGCCGACCCAAAGGTTCCCTCCTTTGTACTAGTTTGAGAAATCCATTTCTAGCGACGGACAATTAAATTTTTTAGGCGCCAATATATACTAATTTTGAGGGGAGAGCGAGCGCTGAAAAAACGCGATTATTTGTTCGAAATTTTCAAAAAACTGCCTAAAAACGCCAAAAATGCCTAGAAACAGGGTCTCTGTTGTGCTATGGAAGAGCTCGGAAAAACAATTTGGTCGATCTGAAAAAAAGAGGTCGACAAAAAAGAGGTCGTCAAATAAAAGACAAATTTAATAATTTATGTACAAATAGCCATTTTTGACTGAAATTTTTATTTTCTTCGAAAAGTTTTTTTGTACTGAGGTCAAAATGGAAAAGATACTTTACCTGTGATTAATTTCTGTAAAGTTATTGGGGTTTAAAGATTGCCAATTTTGCCATGAAGGGATAATTAACGCGTGATAAATTTCGAGCTATTAACGCGTAAGCGGCGATAAACGCGGTCAAATATTTCCTCAACTTGATTTATTTCAATTTCTCTCCAACATCCTGCATTCTGATTGGTTGAAAATTCGCATCATTCAACGGTCTAGCGAACTTTAACTCAATTGCGTTTTTGTAAACTTAATCAGGTTTGGTTTCAATCAAAATCAAGAATTCACTAAGTCACTATTTCAAAGTTTTTGAAAATAAAAATTAACAAGACTGCTCGTATCAGGGCGAAGCCCTGAAAGTTCTGACTGCTTTTTAACGTTTATGGAGCAGTAATAACATAAACAACATAAAAAAACTGAATGAAATAAAATAAAATGAAAAACTTTTCTAAATTTTGAAAAATTTACTATGAAAATCATCCCCCCACACGCCATATAAAGTACAAAACAATAGATTTAGCTCCTTGTAACAAATCAGTTATGCAAATAAGCTTCTTTCAACCAATTCTGAACAATTTTTAAGACGGATTAAATCTCCGCTTACGCGTTAATAGCGCGAATTTCATCGCGCTTTAATTGTCCCAAATTAGTCAAAATGGCCAAAATGGCAATCTTTAAACCCTCATAACTTTACGAAAAATGATCACAGGTGAAATATCTTTTCAAATTTAAGCTCAGGACAACAATAGCTTTCGAATGCTATAAAAAATTCCGTCAAAAATGGCTAGTTAAAAAGTCGAAATATGTCTGAAGGAAAAAACCCACCCCGAGCACAAATATTCATTAGAGAGGAACAATTAGAGAGCACGAAAATCAATTTTTAAATTGTTAAGCAGCACAGTACCTGCTCAAGTAATTTTGAAAGCAATTGTCTGCGCAAAAAATTTGATTCGAAAGATTTGATGCATTTTAAATCCTCATTTGAACATGCAAGTGTAGTTTTTAATAATGGTTTGCTTCAAAACAAAATTTTTTATTTCATGCATTAAGATGAATTGATATTAATTAATTTTTGAATACTCATTTCTAATAAAACAAAAAAGCAATTCTAATACCTCACTGCACGCGCAATGACCTCGCAATGTTCTCTGAGCGCTTAAATTTTTGAAAAGAAACTCCGTCAGAGGCACATTTTTATTGCGGTCTATGAAGATCTTGGCATCAAAAATGTTTATACTGAATTGAATTATCCCTCTTATAGCACTGCCTTATTTCGTTTGGGAAAAGCAATGATTTTGACATTAAATTGTCGTTTACCTTTCGAATTAAGTAAAACGTAAGCATGCATAAGATGATTATTCATAGCATATTCAGACCATTTTTGATCAATATAACAGTCTCAACAAAATTTTTTTCATTACACAAAAAATATTGACCCTTGATTTTAAATTTGAAAAGATACTTTTATTGCAAACATCTCTTGTCGAAGTTCCCAATTTGGTCATGCTCTGATCTAAATTATGCGAGCTTTGAATATATATAGAAATATGTGTATGTGTATATATTATATTATATATTTTGCTGAGAGCTCAAACATGATTAGGCACTGAGAAAAAAATTGGATTTGAAATGAGGCAAACTAATTGTTCATAATTTTTCCATAATGCGACTCATAATTTAACACTTAATTTTTGACATTGTAATTCCAAAATCAGTTGGAATCCAAACAAGAGGTCGATATCTTCAATGAGGCATAAAAAATTCGTGTTGAAAACTATTATTTCGATCGGCGAAAATTGACAGAAGAAAAAAAACACAAAAGTCGGAACAATAAGGCCTGGCCTGCAAATCTTTCAGCACCAAACATTAATTTATCAAGCCGCTTTGGTATGAACATTTTTAGGCGATCACGGAGGACGCATGAGAGTAATTTCCGCTAATAGTTATTTCAACTTGAACTGGGAATGACAAACAAATTTCATTGATGTTTCTATTTTTTTCTACA